TGATTAAAGTTGATTTCCTAATATTCAAACATTTGTTCAAATTAAAAATAAATAATATAGAAATATATTATATCATTCTTATATATTAAATTTGGTTTTTATCTCAAATAGATTCAAATTTTTCATTTTAAAAATACTTATTAGTTATCAATTGATTAGGTAAGTGTTTATGAAATTTATATATATTTTATAAATTTAATGTATAATTAAATATTATTTGATTTCATATTTTAACAAAAGTAGTACATACATACATTTATTGAAATTCATTAATTTATGCTCTTAAATTCAATCTTTCTAAAATAATTTTCAATTATTGTATTAATAAAGGGCTAAAGAGTCTTGAAAGAATATTGTATGATGAAATATCCGTAATTTTATTAGAGAATCTTTAAAATTTGGAAATTTAATTTTTATTTTCTATCTTTATTAAATTTTGGAACATGATTTAAATTATTTTATTTATCTAAAAATAATCTTAAAACATTTAAACTCCCTCTATAAATGTTAAAATGCCTCAAGTGATTTTAATTATATTCAAAATTATTCTATTATTTCTTATTAATCTTGATAAGGTAAAAATGGGTTGAGCACACTTAGCTTTTAAAAATCAATTGATAATAAATTTAAATATTTACTATATACAGATTTGAAATTAAGTTTACATTTATAAAAACCTTTATGTATTTAATTTACTCTATTTTTATTCCCAAATAAAAAATAATGCAGTTTTGATTTTTACACTTTCTAAAAATTAAAAATTAGAGTTAATCCTTTAGCTGATAAAATTCATTAACTTTAAAATATCATAATTGTCTTAAATTTGAAGTAAATTTTAGATGAAGACTGAATTTAAAGCAAAGTCTATTTTCGCATTTATATATTTACATCAATAACATAATGATTTATAAATATATAAGGAGGCTTTATTTTTAATAAAATATAATCTAATTATGATATTGAAAATATATGGCCACATTTATTTACAAATTAAATTTGGTGAATGATAATGTATAATTTTGATAAATTTAGGTTTATATTCAAAGTTTAGTAATACTTTTATTATTTTAAATTTAAAAAAGGGTTTATACAAAATTTATCAATTTAAGGTCTAGTTTGTATATTTAACTTTGATAAGGAAGTTTGAATTTTACTTTAGATTCATTTATTGAATAAGTTTTAATTTTCTTATTAGTAAACTTATGTTATTCACTTTATTTATTAAAAATTAATACATAACATATAAAGAAATCTGTTCTTTTAATAATAAAGAGTATATAAATCTTATAACTGGTTTTGAACTTTCAAATGATATCCTTTTTATTGAAGTGTTTTAATAAGTAAATTTGTTTTAAACTAATTTGAGATTTTCTATAATAGATTCTATATAATCATTATGTTCTAAATTATTTGATATTTTAATTCATTCTCTCAATTGGAGTTGTATCATTTATTCTTAATATTTTTTATTATTAAGAAGTATTTTAATCTTACAATGAACAAGCTTTTTAGTATTTAAGGAACTTGAGTATATTATTTTAACTCATATATATATGTATCAATAATAAATTTTATGAGTAATAATTTAAAAAAATCAATTATTTATAAATTAAAATAATCAAAATTTTCTATTCTAAATTAAGCATAATAATTCATTTCTATGATTTCTAATTTAAAGAACCTATATTCTAAACCAAGCCCAAAAATTATTAAACACTTAAATAGTCTATTTGAATAAAAAAATTAATTTAATTGGTAAACTATAAATTATGAATATAAACATTCATTTAATATTAAAACAATATATTTAAAGAAAAAAGTTATTAGAAGTTTGTGAGTTAAATTGTTGTTTACTATATGGAATTTTATAGCATTTCTATATTAAAATAAAATTGTAATATTGCTTATAAAATATACATAAATTTCAATCTTCTTAATCAGATTAATTTTATAATGAAAAAATGATAATTTTGGTTTACTTAAAAAATATGATTACTTCACAACATTTTTCATATTAATAATCATGATTTTATAAAAGTAATATAAATAAGTATTTATATTTAAAATTAAGAAATTTAGGATTATCTAAATAAATATGTTTACATCTTTGACTGGTCAAAAGCTTGAAATAGAAATTCATATTTTTATTCTTTAAATATATATTTTTAACTTCAAAATTTTATATAAAATACAAAATATATCAATTTTCAATTTATATATTGTTAGGAATTAATATTTTCTTATATAGGCAAAATTTTAATAAATAATATAGAAATTTATATTTGGTTTATTGGAAGCTATTGAAATGCTATCCTGAAAATTCATATTATTGTTTTTTTTTATTATATTGAATCACATTGGTAAATAATTCTATATTTGAATATTTAATAAGATTAAAAATTTTTTGAATCTTAAATATTAATAAAAATGCTTCGAATTTCATTATAACATTTGTTAAAGCAATATTTAATCTTCTAAATTCTTTGGAAGCTCTATACATTTTTTCCATTTATTCATATTTCAAAAAATAATTTATGAATTTTGTTTATTGTATTTAATATGATTTTATAAAAGTTTCTGTTACTTTTTTCTTCATCATTTAATTATTGCTGTCTAATAGTAGCAAACTTAGTATTTGAGCTTTTATCTTTTACTAAACAATTTAATTATGAATGATTGATTTATTTACACAAAAAATTATTATTATTTTTTCAATTACACAGTCCTTTTTATTTTCTTGATTCATTATTTACATAAATCATAACTAATAAATTATTGAAGTCAATGTATATGATAGCAAACTAATAGAAATACTATAACAGGCTTTGTATTTAAAAATAATCAAAAATTATTTTATATGATTTTGTAAGGTTGTAGAGAATGGAATTTAATAAATGTGTAATTAGTGTCATGCTTACAAGTGGATGAAGTTCATTCAAAAATAAATTTATTGTTATTTAAGAAATTGAAACCGAATTTATATTATTATTATTACAAGGCAATCATAAACTTTGTTTTCAATTTTTAGTCTTAAATATTGTATTAAATAAATGATGTCAGAGCTATAATATATAAATTTGTTAATTTTTTTTGTTTAAAGCCAACAAATCCTTTTTTTTATTAAATAAAATATGATAATAAAATCAAAAAGAAGACGACCCAATAAGACATATTAGCTTGCCAAACTAACTAAATTAAGTGATTAAGTGATTAGAGATCAACAAAATTCTATTTTGAATTAGAATAACTTATCTTTATTTAAGACTCAATAAGGATAACACTAGAATTAATAATTAAGGGGAGGTGGATTTGCAATGTCAAGCTGTAGGTTTGGACAAGCCCCTTAAGCTTAAGAAATATAAAATCTAACTGAAAATATGACATTGTATGAATAAGAATTGCCAGAAAATTTTAAAAATGAATTTGATGATTCTGTCAATGACATTAAAGATGGATTCCGTAATTTGTTTAATAACTCAATAAAAAATAAAATAATAATAAGAATTTAATGGTTCAGTTATAATAAAAATATTTTAAATAAATTATGCATTTAATCTGAAATTAAATCAGATTTAAAAAATAAAATAATTGATAATTTAAAGTATCTATTGGATGCATTGCCTAATTATTTAGAAGTTTCTTGGTTTTTGAGTTATTAAATAGCATAAATATGCAATGACTTGCTTAGAATTCTTTATTCACAATAATTAGATAATTCATAGGATATTTTAAAAAAGGTGAACTATTTTTCTGAATAATTAACAAATGGATCAGATAATATATGGAAAGGTGGTCTTGAATTCGAAAAAACCTTAATGGAAATTATGTTAAATAATCTTAAAGAACCTGGAAAAGAACTAGATCTTCTCATTAAAATGGCTAAAGGTGTTGGAGAATCTATTTTAGAAGGCAAAATAACAAAAAAATTATTGTCAAGTCTTAAAAAAGGAGCAAAATACTTAGCAAAAAAAATAGTAAATAAAGGACTATATCCAATAGAAATATATTAAACTTATTATTTATTTTAAATAATAAAATGGAGAATTATTGAAACAGAATCTCATTCAGTCTATTCAGCAATATTAACTTTAAAAAGCCTTTTTTAATAATATATCTAAGAATCAAATAATTGGATTTTGCATTTTTGTTGGATTTAGACCATAACAGATATTATACTCTATCGACCAATTATAGAAAAGAATTTATTATTGTAATAAAACCTTTAAGAAATAACTATGATTTAAGAACTAGCATTTGATCATAAAAAAGCAATCATTTTATTCTTTGATTAATAATTAAATCCAAGCTTGAATTCAATAATTAGTAAGTACAAAAGGAATGAACTTTAATTACTCTGCTAAAGCTTGATAGATGAATAATTTGCAAATAATTAAAATTTATGGGATTACTATACTAACTTTCGTTTTATTTCTAGTGAAAAAGATGATATTAAGTAAAATAATATTATTCAAGTGAATAGAGAATAGGAACTATTAAAAAAATTATTTGAATAATTAAAAGTTCTTGTTGATTAAATTCAGTACACATAAATTGAAATTAAAGAAACTTTGATAGCTTAAGTTGAAAAAAATTAAATATCAAAATAATTATTTGATGATCATAAAAATAGATTATTTTGTAAATATTTTGATTAATGGAAGAAAGCAATCTACATTATAAATATGATTTTAGATTTTTTGAATTTTGATTATGAAAAACTTAAAATATTAGAAAATCTAGAACTATTTCGTTAAGAGGAACCATTTTCAAACATTTTTAAATAAATCTAAAAATTTTTCTAAGTGGAATTCCAACAATTTTATAAAAGTTTCTTAAATGATTTTTTTGAAGAAATATCTTTCATAAGTAATCTTGCATTCTAAGAATAAAAAGAAATTAAAATAAACAATCAGTATAGCAGAATAAACATTTAAGAAAATTTACCATTAGATAGTTTTATATCTTTTCTTCATACACTCAATGAATTATAAATTTTAATTGAATCTAAAAATGACAATGATGTGAAAATTACACATTTAAATAAAAAAACTATAAATGAATTTTTTGAAAAAATTATTTAAGGTAATTGGATTAGACATATAGCCTTTAAAATTTTAGAATAATTTTAAGAAAAATTTCAATTTATGAGTGATGATTTAAACTAAATTTCCGAAATTAGAAGTTAAATCATCAAATGCCAAATCAGTATATAAACCATAAGCTTTTTAAAATAATTTTATGAAGTTCAAATTGAGAAGATAAAAAGAATAAAAAGAAAGTTCTGGATATATTTAATTTAGGATTAATAATAAAATTAAATGAAAGAAACAAGTTTTATCAAAAGATTTAGTGATTTATTAAAGAAATAACAAAATAATTTGACTACTTTTAGAGAGATTGTAAGTAAAAATTTCAACGTTGATATAATTAGGTAGAATTTTGAATAGATTGATTTAGAAATTGAATAAGATATAAAGACAATTAAAATAGAATTACAGAAAGTAAAAGAGGAAGAGAAAGAAAAAGAAAAAGAGAAAGTAAAAGAGTAATAAAATGAGACAGAGAAAGAGAAAGAGACAGAGAAAGTAAAAGAACAAGAATAAAAAGAAAAATAAGAATAAGAATAAGAATATAAGAAAGGAATTAAGCTGTTGCTTGAATTTTAAGCATTATTTATAATATTTTTAAGAAATACTAATGAGCCAAAGAATAATTAATAAGAAAAATCAGAAAATAATAATTCATAAATATAGGATGAGCAATCTTTAGTAAAATATGGTTAAGAATTCCTTGATAAATTTGATAAATTATTAGAGAGATTGAGAATAATTATACAGGAATTTTAAAAGAGAAAAGAATCAGAAAGCTAAAAGGATAAAATCTCATATTTCGAAATTGAACGTTGTGAATATTGGTCTATTTTATATGAGACTACTATTAATAAACTTAAGAGTGCTATGAAATTTTATTAAGTATATAAGAAGTTCTTATTAATTTATTTAGATTTATTTAATTATTCGAATTCAGATTCAGATAAAAACAATTAATTATAAGAAAATGATGATTTCAGAAGGTAAATTATAAATTTTAAGAATTAAAATATAGAATGTATTGATCAACTAGAATACTAAATAAAAACTCAATTCATTGATTTAACAATTTAAGTAGAAAAACCCAACCATGATCTTACTTTGATACAATTTTTAACATTTTTTGAAATGGAAATAAATGATTAATAAACTGAAAATTAAGCTGAAGATGAAATCAATATTGGAGTATTACTAGAAATAAAAGATTATTTTTAATAGAAAAAAAATGAAATAGAAAATATTATTGAAGCAAAGGATTATAAAGTAGGAGAATGTTTAGTTTATAATTTAATTAGACTTTAAAATAGTAACTTAGAGGATTAGATAATAAATTTTGCTTCTCAAAAATTATAATAAATTTGGGTTTTTGAGTAAAATCCAAGAGTAAGAAGTTTGTTAAAAAATAAAGAATTAATTGACATGTAAAAATAGATTTTTTCAAGAGATATTTAAACAATGTCTGATTAAATTAAATAAGAAATTTAACATAAAATGTAAAATGTAGAATTTCTTTAATAATAAATTAGACTATAAGGAAATCCATAAGAAAGGGAAAACCTTTAATAATAATTAAAACTATGTTATAAATAACTTGATGAATCAATTGATAACGTATCTGAAATGTCTGAAGCAATGAATATAACTCTTATGTTTTTGAAAGACATATCAAAAGATGTGAAATCTATAAAAATTTCAATAGATAATTTACAAAATAGCTTATAGGAAATTGGAAATGAAATTAGAAAGCTAAGAGGGAAAAAATATGATGAACTTCTTCAAATAAGAAAATAAAAGATTCTTTAATAAGCCTAGTAATAGAAAGTAGATTCTATATATGTTTAATTATAAACAATAGAAAGAAGTCCTATAAATGGTAGCTTAAAACCTGGATCTTTTTTGTTAAAAGAATAAATTTAGGATAGGAATGGAGAAGTTAATGAATTTATATGGCATGAAACTTTAGCAATAAAGGGTAATACTGAAGAAAAGGATGTAATGTTATTATCTGGTTTTGCAGGTTCAGGAAAGAGTAGAGCAGCTAAAAAAATAGAAGAGTTTATTTGGTAATCATAAGGTATTTAATCTGAATGGATTCCAATTTTTGTATCTCTACCAACTTTAAAAAATCCTAAATATAATTTATTAGATTAAGCTTTAGAATCTGAAAATTATTAATTTGATAAATACTAAATAAAAGAATTCAAAGATGCAATTTGTAAAAAGAAAGCAAAAGTAGTATTAATTTTAGATAGTTACGATGAGATGAAGTAGGATTGTATTTAATAAAATCTTATTATGACAAACAAATTAATATAAGATCTAAATGTTGACAAATCTGATAGACAACTTAAAATAATAATTACAACAAGAAGAGAAATTTTAAATACTGATGGTTATGAAACATGGTTTTATGGCGATAGTTTGTCAACTTTAAAAGAAGTTTAATTATTAAACTTTAATTAAGAGTAGTAATATAGATATTTAGAAAAGTATTGTAAGTTGAGTATTAAGAGAACTTTAAGGAGAATTTATGAATTTGTGAAATAAGTTTAAGGATAGAATTTTGATTTAGCAGAGTTTATTAAAATATGGAATTCTATACTAAATTAAGTTAAATAATGCTTATGTTATTCATAATTTAATAGATTAGATTCAATATTTTAAGATAATTAAGAAGAGATTATAATTCAAAAAATCAAATAATAATCAGTTTTTAAATATTTATCAGATGAACAAATTACAGGATTTAGAAAGGATCTTTTAAATTTGTGGAGTGTAAATAAGTTTGTTAAGTCTATTAATTCAGTTAATATTTAGAATCTATTGACAACTCCATTTATGTTAGAAATTATTGTTTAGGTATTGCCATCTATGACCAAGAAATATCAAGGATCTATAGAAATTAAAGAAAATTTTAGAAAATATTATTTGAGCATTAACAAAAGAGCCAAATTATCAAGGAATTTGAATTAATAATTTCAATAGAAAATGGAAGAATCTTTAAATAATAAATAATAAAATTAAATTAATTATGTTTAGGAGGATAATAAGTCTATTATAAAGAGTTCAAGGATATAGAAAACTTAAAAAAAACGAAAAATTGACTAAATAATTGATGCTCTTGATAGTATAAAGTTTTTTTAATTTTATTCAATCGATAGTAACATTTAATTAAAAGAGGGAAAAATTAATATTGATGGATAAAATTTACAAGTAAATGTTAATAATGTTGATATAGTTGTTATGGCATTAAAAATGAAGAAATTTACTGCTTTTGAATTCTATGAAAGTTTTATTAGCTTCTACCATGAATAGTAAATTTAAAAATAAAGAGAATTAGGAAAAGTTTCAAATTATGAAAGCTTTGCTTAAGATATTTATTAATTTTCATAATCTTTAGCTTTGGATTTGACAATTAGAGATTTATCTTAAATTAATTATAAATAAAAAGGGTAATTGTTATTATAAAGTAATTATAAAGCAATTTAAGATGTAGATGATTGGTAAGATTAATATTTAAGTGATTCATATACTGATAAAGAATATAAAAAGTTGATAAGAAGCAGTATTCTTTTAACTACAAAAGGAAGTACTTACTAATTTACTCATAAATCTATATAAGAATTTTTTGTTGCCTAATATGTGAATAATTTTTTGGTTTCTCTGGGAAATTTCAGTTAATCTTAGAATTAAGAACTCTAGAATTTAAATCACTTAAAAACATCTCTGTTTAATTTATCAACTTTTAATTTATCATGTGAAGCATTCAGAGGAGCAAATTATTTCATAAAAGATAAACTATTGAATGCAGAAATCAATTAAAAATTGATTGATATAGTAATGTTATCTAGGAGAAAAGAATTTTGTAGAGCAGCCTCAAATAGTATTTATTTACTAAGTTTGATGAATATTTATTTGGGATTTTAAAACTTTAGTTCTATTTAATTAGCTGATACAAATATATCTGGTTTAAGTTTCTTTGAATCTGATTTGAGTAATTCTAATTTTTAGAATGTAATAATAAATTCCTGCAATTTTAATTAAGCTATTTTATCTGATATTATGTGGGAGGTGATATGCAAAGAAAAGCCTTATTTAGCTGGTAATAAACATTTATCTTGCTTTAAGTCTGTTGCATTTTCTCCTGATGGTAAATATATAGCATCAGGAGGAGAGAAAGGAATTGTTAAATTATGGGATCCTCAAACTTATATTTTTATTTAAGATTTAATACCTCAACATAAAGGTTGTATCTAATAGCTTTAGTTTTCATCTGATTCTTAACTTTTAATCTCTTGTGATTCAAGTGGCAATATCAAATTTTGGGATATCCTGAACTTCACTTAAAAACTAATTAAAGGTCCTGATTTCATAGAAAAAATAAACTAATTTTATTTGACCGAAGATTCTAAGAAAATATTCATTCTAACTGAAAAAAAATTCATCATTTAAGAATTTGATTAATTATTTCAAGAAACAAACAAAATTGAATCAGAAATAAATCAATTTTTAATTTCTCTTATAAATAAAAATCTAGATTTTGTTTTATTTCATGAAAATATTATTCCAAATTTAAGTTAACTTACAAAATTATTGGATAAACTTAATGAAAACATTGATCTAATAGTTTTTAGTCCAGATGGAAAATTGATTTCTGTTGTTGCTAATAAGTTCATTATCAAAATTTTTGAACTTGGAGGTAATTTATTTGGTGAATATAAAACTCAATTCAGAATTTATTCTTTATAGTTTACTTCTGATAGTAGAAATCTAATTTTAGGAGGAGAAAAGACAATAATTATGAAAGAAATAGACTTTTTTAAAATAGGTTCTTTTTAAATCAACTAACAAATTTTTGAAAAAATTAAATGCTAAGAAATTTGTATATCTCCTAACAATAATCAAATTATTGTTCTCGTCATAGAAAAAGCAATTTAATTAATAGATATTAAAACAAATAATCTTTTAAATTAGATAAAATTTAATTACTAACCTAAGAATATTATTACTTCTTCAGATGGATTATAACTAGCTTTTATTTTATAAAATGAAGATGGTCATATTGTAGAATTTTAAATATTAGATTTCAACACTCTTAAAACCAAAATACAAATTTAGTGGAATGAAAATTTTTGGAATTTATATTTATTATCTGGTGATTTAAGTAGAATGTTTGTATAAAGTTGGGAAAAATCTTTTGAGATAAATTTACAATTAATGAATCAAGATACAAAATTATCAAAATTTAAATCAAACCTAAAAGCATAATTATTTTGTATTAAACCTAAGGATCAGATAATGGCTTATGTCAAAACTGAAACTCAATCTATCATTCTTTTTAATATTTAAAATGAAAAATAAATAGGAAAAGTATTAATAAATGCTTAAAATAAATAAGTAGAGGCGCTATGTTTTTCTCCAACTTAAAATATTTTAGTTGTTGGCTATTAAAATGTATAGTTATTAGTTTGGGATTTAGACAATTACGAAAATCAATAAATCGCTTTATAAAAAGATATTTTTGAAGACTAATAAAAACATTTAGATTTAGAATTTTCCTATATACAATAAACAACTTAGGAAGAGAAGAAAAATACATTTAAATCATTGATTTTTTCACCTAATGGAAAATTATTTGCAATAAATGGCTTTAGTAATCTTTATGTTTATGAGACTTAAACATGGAATCTAATAAAATTTAAAATGGATCTAACAATAGAGTAAATTAGTTTTTCACATGATAGCAAATTTATGGTAGTTAATCATAATAATTCTATCAATATGTGGGATGTTGAGAATAATTATTTATTAATTTAGCTACCTTCTATTTCATTTCGTTTTTTTCATTTACAAATGTTTTTCACTCTAAAAAGTAACATTCATTTATATACAAATTATGATTCAGCAATACTGATTGATATTTCAACATCAGAGCCAAGGGAAAGCAAAAAATTAAATGATTCTATTAATTAAGTATCATTCTCATAAAATAATTGCATAATAGCAACTTCTACACAATTATAATCTTACACTTTAATTCGAATTTTTGATTATTCAAATGATGAATTAGAACTAGTAGCAAGTTAAATATTTTTTTTTTAAATAACTTTCATCTCTTTTATAAATAATGATTAAGAACTATTATTGTAAATTTATGAAAAAGATGAGTACTTAATAAATGTATATTAGATAAGCTAGTTTTAAATCAAGGGTATTATAAATTAACAATTTTCATGTGGAGCTTTTTCGAAAAACAATCAACTAATTGCATTAGGAGCCTGTTATAGTAAGGATATTACTCTTTTTACAAGTAAATTAAATAAATTTGAAAATTATATTGACATAGCAAGAAGTGATTCAATAACTTTTGTTTAATTTATATAAGATGATAACCTAATTGTTTCTGGAAGTAAGAAAGGTGTAATAGAATTTTGGAACTATTTAGAGAAATACAGTTAATACAATAGGATGCTCTAAATTTCAAGTCATTCAATTTAGCAAATTAAATTTATAAAAAATGATTCAATTTTAATATGCTTGGATGAATAATAAAATCTATCAATATTCAAGGCATCATATAATTAAAATAATGTGGATTTGAGTTTTATTGGGTATTATGAAGAAATTAATTCTTTTTCAGTTTCTATTGATGGGGAAAGATTAATTGGTATTAGAAATAATAGATAAATTATGAATTTGAAAGATTCAAATTGTGATTTATTCTTTATTTAAGAAAAAATCGAAAAAATTTATTTTTCTTTTTGTAAAAACTTTTAATCGTTTTAAGTCACAATTCATATGAGCGACTAATAAGTTTTTATTCCAAAGATTCAGAATTTAAAAAAAAACATTAATAAATATTAGATATATAAGATGCTGATCTTCATCCTAGGTTGAATTTATTAGCAATATTTACAAAGTGTTAAATTTAATTAGTTTAATTTTCAGCTGTTAAATAAGAAGTCATTTTTTCACTCTTTCCTGCCACCCCATATTTTTACGATAATATTTCAGGATGTTAGCGATTAAAATTTACTGAAAATGGTTAACTATTAGTGCTTATAGATCGTAGCATAATTCGTTGGTATTTAGTATAGGAAAATAAAACTTTAAAGGTTTTGGGTTTTATTACAACTGCATATTATGGAGAGAAATTGTTAAGAGTATACTTGTTTAATAGTCAATATTTAGCTTATATTTCAAATTTAAATAGTGGATTAAGAAGGGTTAATGTCCCAGAAAGAGATGAAAATATTACAGTTTTGAATATTCTAGAATAGAATTTTTAATTCTAATTAAAACCTTGTAACATTTAATTGGATTCTTAATAATTTTCTATTAGTTTGGAAGAACAGATTGTTTACTTTCATAGTTCTTTAACTGTTTATGCACTTGATATTTAAAATATGATAATGTATGAAATTAATTAAAAGTCTGAAAAATATTCAAAACTTAAAATAGAACATATTTAAGCCATAGATAATAGATCATTGATAATTGTTTCTTATGATTATAATAATTAAGTTAGAATTTGTTAATAGTTGAATTGGAATCTTAATAAATAGAATTAAATAGATTAAAATCAATTTGAAATAGGAATATTTTCGAAGAAATTAATTGGAGGCAGTTATTTTCCTAAATAATAGTTGTGGGCTGTAATTTTTGAAAACGATATAATTATTTAAATCTTGAATATTAAAGCAAAGAAAATAATCAATATTTTTTAAGGACATCGTTAAATAATTAATTAATTAACTTTTTCAAGTGATGGACTTATTTTAGCATCTGCTAGTGAAGATTAATCTATTAGACTTTGGAATATTGATTTTATTGAATAAATTGATCCTTCTGTTGGCCATAGAGATACAATTACTGATATTGCTTTTTCTAAAGATGGACTTTTAGTTGCTTCATGTAGTCGTGATAAAACTATAATATTATGGGATCTTTTAGAAAAGAAATTTATTGTTCAACTAGAAGGTCATGAAGGAATAATAAATTGCCTTTAAATTTCTTATTGTTCTAAATTTTTATATTCTGCAAGTGAAGACATGTCTATTAGAGTATGGAATATTGAAAATCCATGGTAATCAAAATTAATTAATATCTATTATTTTAATGATTTTCCTATTAAATCTTTTTGCTTATCACCAATTGATAACAATATTTTTACAATTCGTTACAATAATGCCATTTAAATTATCAATAAAGAGGATATTTAAAATTTTTATGATTTATTACCATATGGCCATTAGCTAAAATTTATCAATAATGATGAATTAATTTATTTAATTGTAGATGAGTCTGCTAAATATGGTTCAAATTATTATTACAATTTATTAATTTATGATACAAATAATAGAAAATCAACACTAATAAAATAAAAATATCGAGATACTACTTAAATTATATGCTCAAATATTAATTTAGTTTTTATATTAGAAATTAAGAATTATGAAGAAGGAGAAATCTTCATATTAGAGAAATGCTAGAATTAAAAATGGATTGATAACAATGATTTTTATTTACCATTAGCTAAAATGATAATGTTATCTCCAGACAACTAAACTTTAGTTATATAAACTAAAAAATTTCTGTCCTTTTGGAAATATTAATTTGAAAAAAAGAGAGTTTTAGATAAATCTTATGATTTAAGAGGGTTTCTCACAGTAAGTAAAAGGATTTTTTTTTTAGAATCTTTTGTTTTGTTTTCTAAAGAAGATAATCTAATTATATGGTTTGATTTTAATTTAGGACCTGAAAATTACTAAATCTTTGATGGAATTAAACAATTTAAACCTGAATAAAGATATAGCATAGAAGAAATATAAGTGTCATTCGATATGAAATATATAGCAGTAGTTTTTGAATAAGAATGTTCAATGATATATTTTTGGGAGGTTATGTAACCTAACTAAATTAATTAGTTATCTGCCAGAGAAGATTTTAAAATAATTACTTTCAAGTTTGATTCTAACTTTATTTATTCAGCATATAGCACTTGTGAAATAGTAAAATGGAATTTACAAACATTTGAGCCTCAAGTTTATATTCAATTTTAAATTCCAGATATATAAAGAACTAAACAAAGAATCCTTTTTTCATCTCAATTTAATTATTAATTTATAATATAAGAATTCGTAAGATAAAAAGTAATTTTTTTTGATCTAAAAAAAAAAGACTTTAGGAATGAATATATAGAAAGGATATAAAAGGCACATACCTTTAGTTTTTCAGAAGATGAAACATTAGTAGCTTATGCAAATCAGAATGAATTGTGTCTATGCAGTATTTTGAACTCTAATTTAATTGAATTAGATACAATATAATTGATTTTAGAAGCAGTTACTGTTGAAACTATTAAATTTTATTAAAATGAGAGATTATTTGTTTAGTATAGTTATGGTAATCAATTATTTCGTCCAGAACATTATATCCTCTCTGTATATGAAATTTAAAAGGGTTAAAAGGGTTAAAATTTAAGAATTTTAGATTGTTTTTTAATAAAGGAATTTATTAGAAATTTTAAATATGATTCAATCAAATAATAGCTTGTTGTAGTTAGTGAAACTTAGATTTATTATTTTAATATTTTAAATAGAATAATAGGAGAACCAATTAAAACTAATGCTTATGCTAAATACTGTTTTTCTTCCGATTCATAATATTTTGCATTATTAAATTCAAATTTGAGTTTAATAGAAACAACAAATTTTGAAGAAATTTAGAATTTTCCTTTTTAAGGTGAAGCATTAGATTTTGTAAAAGGCAATGAAAATCTTATCTTGGCCCTTGTCTAAAAAAAATCTTTGAGTTTCTTAGATTTCTCAAACTTAAATGATATTAAAGAGGTACAAAGATTAAATTTTGAAAATGATATCAATTCTGTTTAACTAACATCCAAATATTGTTTAATAAAGCATGATGAATATTGTTTTTCGATATATGACATCTAAAATTTATCAAATATAATTAAATCTGATGTCTATAGTGGTAAACATGGAATTTTATCAAACAATAGTTAATTTTTAGCTTATTCAAATGGAAGAAACTGTAAGATAATAAATACATATACTAAACGTCTTTATGAAAATGAAGAATAAGATAATAATTTAAACTTTATTTCACAATCACCAAGTGGACAATATTTTGCAATATAATAGAAAAATTCAGTTAAAATTATTGAATACAATTCTTTTAAAATTATTGAGCCATCGCCTTTAGCTCAAATGTTAATCGATTTTTCTGAAAATTGGAAATATATGGCTTTTTGTGATATGGGTAAGATAAAAATAACAGAAATAAAAAATGAATGCTAATTTTTAGAAAACCAACAATTAGAACTGCATATAGAAAATTATTCTGTACTTACATTATCTTTATCTCTAATTGGAAATTATCTTGCTTCTGGGAATGTAAATGATATAAAAACGGAGTGTAAGATATTTTTATGGGATGTAGAAAAATGTAAATTAATAGCTTAGAGTGGAAATTTAGATTCTTATGTATAACATATAAAATTCTGTCCTGATGGTCTTACATTTGCAGCAGCATTAGAAAATGGCCCTTTACATTTATATTAAATAAAATAAAATTTTGAAAAAACATCTATTTCATGCTTTAAATCAATAGCAAAATAATCAAATTTATTAGCTCATTAATGTATTCTATCTAAATAGTCCTAAGTATAAAAATCTTAGAATTCAATAATAGAATTATTCAAATAAAAAGGGGCCATAGTCTAAAATAATTGAATATTATGTTAGTGGTTTTCTTTTAATATTTCTTATTTTATTAATTTAAGTATTTAATGAATATTTAAAAAATAAATATATATTATCAAATTCTATCAAAAATTCTCAATTAAGCATAATTCTGAACGAAAAAATTTTATGTATAAGATATGGATTAAAGACACTTCAAATCAACTTGAAGTTTTAACAATTTAGAATAAATAAAGCATTTACAGAAAATAAGATCGATGGAAAGAAGTAATTGCAAATTGATGGTAGTTAAAAACGATAATTCTGAATCAGGCAGATGAAATATTAATTGATAATAAATCAAAATCATAGATTGATGATATCTATAAATCTTTGCAACTTTAATCTTAGAATATTGAGGTGATAGAAACTTTATCTAAAGTTATATAAGATTTTATTGAGAAATTTATTAATAAACCTCTTACGATAATTGAAAAAAGAAATGACCTGACATTAGAAGGAGTTGAGTAATATTAACCATATTGATAAAGAAGAATGGAAGTTTGAAACACTATGTTATATCTAAAAGCTATGCACATAACAATAAATTTATACAAATTAAACATTCTAATTAACAACTTTAATATCATTTATAATAACCATCAAATTAAAAATTATTTTTATAGTCACCATGAAGGTATAAAATGGCTTTAGTTTTACTCTATTTTATCATTTCTGTTTCAGTTTTATTATTATTCAAATGTTGTGTATAAAAGGCTGAAAATTAAAAATTGATTGAATTTACTTCTAATGATACTAAGAGTCGAATTAATAATTCAAAAAAGGGACATTCTAAAATCAATAATATACAAAAAAAAGAGTTTAATATGAAAATTCTTCTCTCTTTTATAATATAATTCAACATTATGGTTCTTTTTTATACTATTCATATTGCTTTTAATGGTGAATACAAATTACAAATATATATATGATTGACCTACCTATAAAATAATTACATGAAAATAAATGCATTTAATTCAATCAAAGGACTTCATTTTCATTATAAAATATCAAAGAAATATACTGAAGTCTTACCTAAACCATTTTTAAAGCAAAGACCAATAAATCTAAAAATATCATGTTGTAATGTAAAGCAGATCTGAAGTTGTGGAATTTACTTGTCTTATTTAAATCTTATTCATTTAATTAATGATTTCATTTTCGAATTCTATTCTTATTAATTAATCTCCATCAAGAATTAAACCAACAAATCTTTAATATAACTTTTCGAATTCTTCTATCCTCATAATTGTGTGATGAGAATATATAAATCATATTAAGTAATATGATGATATTTATTATCATCTAAAAAATAAAATATTAAGAAAGTGATTTTAAATAGAATAGAAATAATTATACTTTTTTCAAAATATCCTCAATATTCTTGTTCATCAGGAGGAAATGATATACAAATGCACATAATACAATTTAGTTTAGATTCAAAAGATACTCTCATTCTATTTAGAGCTTAATTTTGTCTGGATGATGAAAAATTTTTGGTAAATAGCAGTGTTCTGGGATCCATTTTGCAAGCGTAAACATGGATGAGGGCTACTCAATCAATAACCTGGAGCTCTCCATCAGGCATAGGCATGAGGCTTCTCTCACATTTATCGGTCATGCCATTCTCAACTTTTAGGAGACCAATTAACCTTAAGTAATCTATGTCCCCCTTAGTGTGTCCCTGATCTGGTTTCACTATTACGGCATGTTAAGCTGACGGCGCACCATTTGATCAAAGTACTCATGCTACCCACAGAGAAAGATAGAAGCCAATCATTAACTACATCCTCCCACGTTATTAGTACCATGGGCAGGGTTATTACTACAGGTTAGAAAGTTGGAGACCTAATGTGTCTTTGTCCCCTCGCCGGTCTTCTTTGGGGCTCACATGCTGTCTTGACTTCTAATTTGAGGGATTTGAGTTGACCTCTTTATCTCAAAGCCATACACTTTTATGAGGCTGGCAGATGGGTATCAAAATGAAAATTAATTTTATTTTATTTTCTCTTATTTTTTTTAACCTTAATATCTTCTCATATTTTTCAACTAAATTAAATTAGTTTAGATTCTGTTTCGTAAAGGCTTAATCAAATTTATATTTATATACTCTAAATTTTTATAATTAAAATAATGCCCGTTCAGAAATAGATATATGGTTGTAGAAATTATATATATTTGAAAGATTTAATATCTAATATAAATGTTAATTATTATTCATAAAAATAATATAGAGATAAACACAAAAATGGGAAATATGTTAGGGCTAATTATGATGAAATAATAGGAATGGCAATTGAATCAGTAGAAAGTTTGTGAAAATAGCAGATATATTATTTTAAATAACTTAACTACCATAGAAAATAGATGCTTTATAATTTAGTACAAAAGAAAATAATATTAGATTATGTAATAAACAACTACAGAATCTTCTTTATATTGTTTTTTTAGGTGGTCAAAGTGGTTGTTAAGAAAAATTATTAATAAACCCTGAGTCAATTTAAATTTATTTAGCTTTGTATTTTTTAAAATGTGACAATCAATTCTATTTATATTTAGTGATTAGATAATATTTGTTTTGGAAAGTTTAATTATAACTTTCGATGATCAAATTGATATTAATTTTAGATTATAATATCATCTATAAGATAAATATTATTAATGATAATTAATAAGCAAATAGAAAAAATTCTGGTGGGGCTATTTATCGAGATATAATTTTATTTTTTAATTGCATAAAATTGAAGTTTTAAATGATCATTTAATGATATAAAATAATATTTGATGTAATTTAAAATTAAAACAAATTTAAACAATTTTTCAGTTATAGTTCTCTTGATTGTGAAATCTAATGTAAATTTTTTGTTATCGTTTTTTCTAAGTATGTTATAAAAATTCTTTATGATAACTACGAACATATTGAAACAGCTGGAACTTGGAAAGAAATCGCTAAAAAATTATCCATTTACTACAATATTGTAAAGTACATCATTTAAGTTAATATGTTTATTATTCTTAAACATTTCTAAAGACAGAGCTCAAACCTAGTATAAGCAATTTAGCTTAAGTCAATATTACAACATGATTAGATTTATATTTTAAATCTAAGGAATAATTATTATAATGAAATATTGGTTAAGCCTGAGTAGATAATAAATGATATTTTGTTTGATAGTAAATCCAAAAATTGAAAGCAATATAACTTTAAAATGTAAAATCTTCATAAAATTGTAAATCATTTTTTCTGATTACCAAATATATTCAGAATAATCACAAATAAAAGCATCTATATAAATTTTCATAATAAAGATAAATTAACCATTTATAAATTGAAATGCCTTATTAATAAAGTATTTTATTTATTTATTTCTTGAAAAAGTAACAATTTGATAATTCTCATCTAAATCATAAGTGTTATTTCTCTATTTATTAAGATACCAAAAAACCTAATAAAATATAAAAAATACTCAAGATCAAATCAATTATAAGCAATACTATCTAATCCATCGAGTTAGTATGTTTAATTATTTAAAGATTAAAATCATATTAACTTTCTCAAAACCAACTAACCTTTTTTTGATCAAAAGCAAAAAAAATGATAGACCATTTCAAATAATTTTTATTGAGAATTATGGGAATTAAAATATAGAATTTAATTTCTTATGATTACTATTTTAAAGCTTAATCAAATTTTAAAAATTGATTTTCAATAATATCAATAATTTCTTAAGCTAATTATTTCCAATATGGAATATCTTTAAATTAAATTGCCTCATTTGATGGTTATAAATTGCAGATAAGCAATTTATTTTTAAATTGTTTTAACAATTTTTTTCGAGTGATCCAAAAACATTAAAGTAGGCATTATCTTTAATTAATCCAAGTCTATAAATAGTATTTTGTTATAAAAATTTAAATTACAAAATTTTAGTGGAAGGGATTTATTTTATTTTTTAGTTAAAAGCCTGGTTTAACTTCTTTTGAATTGTGGTAAAATAAAATCTGGTTTATGAACTTTTAGTTTTGGTAAAAGCTTCTGCATTAATAAAAACTAATTTATTTAACAAAATTCAAAAATTGATCCTAATAATATCAGGGTGTTTGTAATTAATTTTAATTAGCCATTTACATACTTTCAAAATCTAACTTTAATATTAATTTTTTTTGAAAAAATTATCTGTCAATTTTCTTATTAATCTTTATTATAAAAAAAAATGTTTACAGGATCTTCTTTAATCAAATTTAATCAATTTTGCTTTGAAAAATTTAAATATTTAAAAAAAATTCATGAATATATTTCTTCATCTGTTATTTTCACAATTCTCCTTACTAAAATAAATTTTGTATTATCTCTTTAAGAATCTTTTTTTTTTTTACCTTATTCTTCTTTGATCAAAATAAGGGATTTAAAGATTGCTCTGATATTAATAAAGAATATTATAATAAATATTAAATAAGTAGTAAAGAATTACACAAAAATTGAAAATTCTTGTGTTAAACTTTCAAAATTAATTGCTATAATGGATGCTATAACTCTAAAACGTCCAATAAAAAATATCCGTGTATATATAATTATCAACGGTAATTATAAATTTTAATAATTTTCATAGTAAATTTTCTTACATTAATCAACAATCCATAACTTAAAGTTTTATTACTAATCGTGAGAGCAATAGAAAGTATAATACAAGACATAAAAATAATTAGGTAAATGATATAATTTAGATAACTATTAAAATATTCTTCTGATTCTTAAGAGGTGAAAAAATTAATTTTATCTAAAATTAAAGCTTTGTATAATAAAACAAACAAAATTATCAATATTACTAATAAGCCTTACATCTAAAATATAATTATAAATTATAACTCCTTTTTTAATATTAGACTATATTGATTGTGGTTCATTCCATCTATAATAACATACATCATAGAATTAAATTATAAAAATCATATTTATTCAAATCAATACAATAAAAATCAGTTAAATATCTTAATGTTTAAATAGTTTGATAGAATCATTTAAATATTATACAATAATTTATATATGATAATTACAGGAATCAATCCTAAACTAATAAATATCCAAAAAAAAACTTATAATGCAGAATTATTAATTTAATCTGATTATTACATTAGAAAAATAAAACCTAAAGATTAATAGCAATCCGAATAAATTGATAAAATTAATCTAATCAAATATATTATTTAACAATTATTTTTTAAATAATAAATCAAATTTAGTATTAATATAACAAATTCTTATTACAATCTTCTTTTCATTTTTTTATTAAGAATTTATCTTTATAAGGATTATATTTAAAAAAAAATAATATAGTTTATCCACATTAAATAGAGTTTTTATCTCATAAGTAATATTTATTCCTCATAATAAATATATAAACTCATAGAATCTCTAATCACTGGAATTAGAATCGACCTATATCTTAATTTTTTTACATGAAATAAATTAAAATTCCATTAATTTCTCTTTTAATTTGAAATTTATATAAATATTAAAGCTACGTAAAATATTGAGATTTGGTTTGTTATTATTTTCAAATTAAATCTACATTTAGAATAAAATAATACTTCAAATTTCTTTATAAAATTATTCTCACAAAATATAACTCTTTGTTATTTTTTTAATTTTAGAACTCTTAACTTAAAGTATAATTTAAGCAAATTAAAAAAATATTAGTTATAAATGCAATCCAAAAAGATTCAAAAATGAAATTAGGATATTAAAATTTTACTTTTCTTATATTTTAATTATAGGATGAAGACTAACATAAAATTCAGTTTATTCTGATTTTATTTCTGTGTCAAATCGGAGACAGAACCATGAAGAAAATTGCTCCCTTCCATATCATAAAATAAATATGGCTGTGGATTAATTCGATTGGGCATCCAATTCCCCATTTTATAATTGCTCAAATCAAATATTAAAGTTGCATAATTTTCATTATAAAATTAACTTGCATTCTTCAGTATTCGTATTTCTTTATCTGATTCAAAAGGTAGATCGAATATATTTATTTATTCGATTTAAAATTTTTAAATTATAAATATTCAAAATTAATTGTAGAAAGTAATTAATTATTTTTTTTAATATTTATGTAATTTATGGTATGATATTATTTTCAAATATTTAAAGTTATGTGTTAATAAAAATGGGCATCAAATCAGCATAAATGCCAGTATCTTTTTAAATGTTTGATTATTTCTAAGTAAAATTTTTAATATAATACTTATTTCCAATTTGTTACCATAGAAAATGATATTAAATGGGACATAACTATAAAGATCTGAATCCAATGAGAATAGCCATTCAGATACAAATAAACATATTGACTGTAATAAGCAAAAAATGAGATTTAGCACTCTAGTAAACTTCAGAAATAGGATTTCTTTTTATTAATGATTTATTCTACTGTCTATTACTTGATTCAATATGAGATGAATGATTCCATCAATTTTAATTTAATTCAATATAATCGCGAAATAGAAAGCCAAATTTTCATATCTAAATTTTGATTATCTAAACTGGATAAGGATAATGTAAACAAATAATGAAGGCGCGCTTGACCAGAAGTAATGAATTTATAAGTCTTATTTTATTTAGAACTTTTTTCCTTCTTGAGTTGATTAATTTGATCATCAATCAATACTCAAATAAATAATTATATAATAATATAATTATATAAATCATTAATACAATTTCTTAGAATTATAAAAAAGCTAATTAATCCTTGAAATATAATAATGAGAAACCAGTAATTTCAAAGATATTCACTGAAATGAAATGAGAGTTTATAGTTTCAATAACTTTCATTAAAGTTATCAATATTTTAGTAAATAATTAATTTTCTCAATAAACATTTGCCAGGATTCAAAAATTTATATTTCAATTCAATTATTAACTTAGATCTCATTATTAAAAATACAGTTTTTTAAAATAGCTGATAGTTTTTCTTTTTCAATATTAATTTTGTTTTCTTAAATATAAAAGTATTAATTTTGGAACTTTTATTGTAAATTTTTATTTCTTTTAATCCAATGATTCAAACAATGATTTAATAGAATTAAGTTTATATATGAGCTGGAATTTTTGGAAAAGAGAGAAAGTATCAGTTCTACTCTTTAATGTCTTATTTAATAATTTCTCTTAAAGGTAGTAAATTTATTCGGCATTAATTCAGATCAAAGTAGTATTGGTTTATATTTTGTGCTAAAGTCCTTCCATATGATTATCTATAGATTTGATTTGATTTTATTAAACCAAAATGTTCAATTATTTTAAGTGAGTTTTGAAATCTTTATTATTATTAAAGTAAATATTTAGGAGAAATAAGTCCAACAACTTATTTCTTATATGAATTAATAGGTCTTAATTTTATTTCTAGAATTTTAGATGCCCATCTTTTATAGAAGATACATTCCAAGAATTAGTTTTAATTTCTATTATGTTAGATATATGACACCTGATTAAATTATTATCCAACTATTTGATTAAATATAAAATATCCTTTTATGGACCATATATCGATTCAAGCAACTTAGTTTATAAATATAGGTAAATTTTTTACAAGAAATAAAACCAAATTTGAAAAAAAGGTTAAAATGTTTATTTAGATTATCTATTATTATTTGACTGCTGAGAAAACTTTTTCTAATGCACAAAGCCCAGCTGTTAATATAAGAGAAATAATTTTTTCCAATACCATTTTTCAGCCGACATTACATTTTGATTTACATTTTTATTTGACAGCCAAATCAAACTTAAAACAAGTGTTGCCCAAGCAGCAAGCATAAGGATTAAGTAATGATTATTTAATATAATTTAAAAATAATCTACCTTAATAGATTTGGAAAATATTTATGAATAAATTGTGAAAACTTCCCTTTATAGGTTATTATTAAATTATTTTAATAATTTATAATATTTATAAATTAACTTTTTCATATTCTTGTAAAATCTTCAAAATTATCTTCTAAAATGCTATGCATGGCAAAAAAATGCAATAAATGATAGACGGGGTTAAGTTCCATGTTTTATATACTACGCGCAATCAACCTATAAATTATTATTCTGGCATATATTGTAAACGGTTCTATAAGGATTTATGAAATTATTATATTCCCTCCAAATATAATAAAAACCTCATATTATTCGGATTGCATAGATAAACTAAATTAATCTAATAAAATACTTCAATAATTATAAAAGATATAAAATAGAGA